CTCAATTTGCCTGTAGATTTAACAGCTGAAATACAAAGTCACATTCCATCTCCTCTTAGTGCTTAGGGCTTCTACTGCATCTGCAAATTAGTAAATGTACATAATGTTTGTACAGACTTAAGCTTATGCAGGTAATTGACAAATCAATTATAAAATGCTTGTATAAAAGGTTTCTTTCTGCACAATCCATTATTTGAATCTCTCTCACTTTAATAGGAAATAGTTTTCTTTTCCTCCCTCCATGTCACCACCTCATTATCTCCCTTCTCACTCAGGCTTCCTTCCTTCAACTCTAAGGGACTCTGTTGTCCTTTCCCTCTGTCACCCTCTCTGCTTCCCTTTCCTGACACCTCCTCCCAGCATCATAATAGCTCTGACCTAAAGTGTCATATCCCTGCAAGAGAGCCAGTCATGCATGGTTGGGCACCCCGTCCCATTTCAGTCACCAGACTGGCCGTGGTTAACTGTGCAGGGAGGAAAAGAGAAGATCACCCTGATCAGTCAGCAACAGGGGGTCAGTGAGGAACTTAGTATATGCAGTAACTTGTGAGTGCTGCACAGAAACAAATTGTTGAAATGTTTGAATCGTGTTAACATGAGAGAGATGGTGTAATTTAGAGAAAGGAAGAGCAACAAATTGGATAGATTTGACAGAGATAACATGATGAAACAGACTGAAAGAAAAAGATAAGCCAATGTGTCAACCTTTATGGCCTTTAGCAGTTGTATGAATGTCATTGCATAAAGCACATGCTTATGTTATTATGTGCAGTCTCTACTTATTATGTAGATGTAGGCGTTTTAAGAGTTAAACACCTTTTTCCAGCAGCCCACCAATCACAGGTGCTCAGATGCTCATTTTATGAAAACCTTTTTTCATGATTTAAAAACTTGTGGTTTATGCCTGCACACAAACTCCTCGGCTTTAGCCTCCCTCCTGCATAAGTAAATGTGAGACCTCCTTTAATGCGAGTCCAAAAGACCTGGCACTGAGATCTAAGAGAGAAAGGGAATGTGAAATCAGAAATGCATCTTAGAAATAATACATGCGTGAGTTCTGCTGCAGTGCGAGATATTTTTTAACCTTGTCTTCCAGCCTTTTCTCAACAAAACCTGCTAAAAGAGTCAAAGTCTTTAAATGTTATTGTCATTCATACTACTGTGTAACCAAGACTAAGGATATTTGCTGTCTTCCCCCCCAAGTCAGCTGTTCAGGTTGGGCACACACTGAATAGATTTAACCCCAATTTAACTTGAATAAGTTGCCCTAACTTATTTTATAATCTGCAACAAATAGGCTTTCATTTGAGGGGGGTCAAAATATGTGATTAATTCCCTGAACAGTCAATAATCTGCCCTTTAGACAACTGCAAGGATGTGGCATTTCACAAATGTAGAGCAGCTCCATGATCCAATTTTCCACATGACTACTGTCAAAAGATCCATTACAAACTGTTGGGAGCTTGTTTTAATGTTATTGAAATGAGTAACTCTAGTCTTGATTCAGACTGTGCTATTAAAACTGAACGTAGCTATCAAACAGACCATTTTCTTCCAATTCATCTAACGCAACTATTTACACACACTTGCATCATGAGAAGTCCTTTGACTTTTACAGTTTGAGAATGAAACATTTTGGTCCAACAGAAATGGTGATTTTAAAAAGCATGTAGTGAGATCACACAATGGTCTTTCCAGTGTAATGCATCATTTATAAAGGGGATTTGTCATTTCATTGCTCTTGAGGCATATGGCCACACTCAAACGTGCAGTGGCATCAACAGAGCATTCAAACATGAGTCATTGAAATAAATACTCATTTTATCAGTGGTTTTATGGTAGCAATTGGTAGCTCACCCAGGTGTTAAACATGCCATAGAACACACAGTATATATACATACATTGCCACACACACATAAATTATTTTCATTATCTCTCTTTCATTACCATCTTTGGTTGAGAAGTAAAACTGCAAACAGATAAACATTCGTTTGTGTAAACCTACTTCTCCAATTTTTGTTTATTCAAAAGTATTTGGGTCTTCTATGTCCTGTAGTAAAACTGAATCTGTGTTACATGATTGTGGGTCTACTTTTAATGGCTGCATATATTATTCCCTTCATGATTCACTGTATGCTTCCCTGCTGTGACATTGCTCCTACTCCCAGACAGTGTTAGAAGAAATATTTTTCATCCTTAACTTAAGTAAAAGTAGCAAGACTACAATGTATAAATAGAGTTTTAGGAGTAAAACTCCTGCCTTCAAAATTATGAAAGTGTTGCATAAGAGTATTTACGTATTAATTAATTCATGTTCACATCATTTTAATTAGTTTTAATACTGCTGGATGGCTTCATCTATAATAGTTATTTTCAAGTAAATGGTTATGTATATGAATATATATGTGCATATATGTATGTATGCATCTGAATGGTGCAGTGGTAGTATCATTGCCTTAAGAACAGCAGATAGAGTTCAAATCCTGGTCAGGGCATGCAGTAAGCCTCCAGTAAGGTTCCCCAGGCTACAGAAGCCTACCTCACAATACGAGTGAGAGAAAGGACAAGGACAAAGTAAGCGTGCACACAAAATAAACAGGGTCAGGTAGATGGCCCTCAGGGATGAACTGCTAAGACAATGCTTCAGGCTGCAGAAGACAGAGGACGAGGTGGAAGAAGAGAAAACCTTCTGTAAGTCCATGGTACAGATAAAGTCGTGCTCATAGAGGAGGGTGGGGTCTACGACAATAGAAGCTGTGAAGATGCTCCAAGACATTGGATGAGAAGTACCAATGAAAGTAGTTGAGAACAACTGAACAATGAACCTGTGAGACTTCAAGTTCCAGGCTGACTAACCAACCAGACATAATGTTGGGTGACGAGAGAGAAGAGGGCAATAGTGATCGATGAGGCAATCCCAGCTGCCAGGAGTGTCAGGAAGGAGCATTAGAAGATTTAGGATTACCAAGGCGTGAAAGAACAACCAAACAGCAACAGATAAGGTGTAGTCACAAGTGGCCATGAGCATTAGGGGCTGTGACCCCCAAACTGGGAGAGTGGCTCCAGCAGATTCCAGGTACATCTGAAGACTGTCCAGAAGAGTGCCGTCCTAGGAGCCCTCGAACTCAAGACCAAAGCTTAAGGACCCCTCACTCTGATTTATGTTTTTAGCCCTCTTGTGCTTGTTGGCTTCCTCAAGCTAGTTTGCCCAGTAGAGAGTAAATTCCAGCAAGACCACTTGCTTTGTAGACTCAATACATCATATCTTAGTGGAGCCAATAGAACATTAGCACTATTCTTACGTTGACTTGGAGCTGCCAGTGCTCTGCAAAGCTTCTCCATTAAGGGGGCTGGGCTGTAAAATTTTACGCTGTCCATATATCTTTTGATATTGAAACATTTCCTTTGATTGAATCCCTCTGAACATTTTATACTGTTATGTAAACTTCAAAAATATTTCTCTGCTTTTTTGGGTGAATTTGTGCAATTTCAGATATAAAAGGTTGAAAAGGAAAAGTGAAGTCACGGATTATTGATACGTTTTGAATTGAGCATGCTGAAAGTGTTCTTTTATTCCTTTGCTTTCTTCCAGCCAAGTCTGTGGCAAACACTCATTAAATCACAGCTTTATTTGTGCTGCTGTTCCCATAAAAGCCAAGGACAGTCACCATGACAGTACAATCAACATTCCTGCATTGTTGGAAAATGTCTGGGTGCGTGAACCCTTCATTTCTCTTGTCAACTTCATTCTCGCTCTTCCCCCCCATTAAAAGCTTCCTGCACAAATCTCTTTCATCTCCACTTCCTGGTGAATAGCTTAAACATTTAAATCAAGCCCATGAAGATGGAACACGACACAAAAGACAATCTTATGCCCTTGCTGTTTTTTAATTGAATTTCACCCACTGAGGAATATTATCGAGACTCGTTTTTTTTTCTCCTCAAAGTAACGTGTGAAACTGACTCGGCACTACAAGCAGATCAATTGCTGTTTACGTGCCAGAATTGTGGTGGGTAGATAAAATACAGGTCTTGGACAGGATCCAATCGGGTTGCTGAATAGAAATTTGTTCAGTGTATACAAAGGTTTATTTATATGTAAAATCAGAGCCATATGGTGTTATTTACCTGTTATCAGGCTGGATGTCGTTGTTGGCCTTCCATGTGAAGCAGATGTGAACAGAACTCCCAACTTTAATTTCATGTTTGGAAAAACTGTGAGCACAGAAATGAGCGTCTTCCCTTGCCCAAGGGGAACAGACATCTTGATGGTCAGTTGTGTTTCTCTTTGATTTAGCACTCATGGCCAAAAGTGCAACTCTACTACAGTATGTCTGACTCACATCAACAGATATTAAGCACAGATGCATTAACTAAGGTGTGATGGGATCAGCGAGTGTTATCGTTTTTAGGAGAGGGCTCTGGTCCTAACCAGGAAGCGCCACATTTACTAAAAATGATTTGTGGGATGCATATTCTTCCTGTCCATGGAAGCAGAGCTGAGTGTTTTTGCTATCAGAAATGAAAGCCCTTATAATACCAATATCTCCCTGCCAGAGGGCGTTCTGCTTGCTTGGCTGCCATTTTAATCAACTGCTGATGCAACAATTTTATATCTCTGCGTATCTACGATTTATTTATTTCCTCTATCTTTTATTGTGTTGTTCGCACTGAGTGAGGACAGAAGATTTCTCTATTCCTTTGTGGGCATGCAGCTCTTTAGTTCTCTAGCATGTGATTTCTAATCTGACAGGAGATATTTTATAAAACGCCTACCTTTGCTGTTTTCTTCTATTTCCTCTCCGATGTTTGTTTTCTGTGTTTGCCTTGTCAACTGTTGCCACGTTCTTCATCTGCAGGGCTTGTGTCTACTGTAAAGCTTTTGCTCGCCCTCTTATCTTGATTTTTTTGCTCTCCTCTTCCCCTCTGTCCTGTTTTCTCATCATCTTCTCCTCTCTCTTCTTTCCATCGGCTCTCCCTCTCTCATTTCTTCGCTGTAGCCTGTAATGATCTGGTGGCCTCGGGCAGAGACAGGAAGCCCAATGCTTTGGTCCAGGTGGCTGTCATAGATCCACACAAGCAGCACCTCGTCAGTCAGGCCTGCACAGAGGTAGTGGAGGTAAGGCCACTCACTCACTCACACACACACTCACACACTCACACGCACCATCCTCTCCCTGTCTCTTTCTCTGACCTTTGATGTTTGTTGTTTTGCTTCGCCTCTGGGTCACTTGGTTTTGGTTGGTGTCCTCCATCTCTGTCTGACCCTTCTTGTCCCTCAACTTTTTCTTTTTCCCATCTGACTCACCGAAGTGGAACAGACGATGTGCGTTAATCTATTTCTTGTGAAAGTTGAGTCCCAGACATCTATGAGAGTGTGAGTTGGGCTTTCAATCAGTATCATCTCTCAGCATATTCAGTGTGTGTTTGTGGCTTTGAATGCTCAGGAGTTCCCTATAGTGAGAGTGCTTTGTGTTAGTTGACCTTCTTATGTGCTGCTTTTATTGCCTCCAGTGTCACATTGCTGTTGCAAAGGCAACAGACACACAAGTGTGTTTTTTTTGGGCAGCAACAACTGCCCCTAACCCCACCATGGAACACCCACTTACACACACACACACACACATTTTTTTCTTTCATCATGTGAGGGCAGAGTTTCCTGACGCACAAAAAGGACACACTTATTTTCCTGCTAATCCAGTAAAGCTGAATTAGCATAACTGTTCCTTTCATAGACTGTATTTCAACTGCTTTTCCCCTCAGTGCTGTCAAGGGAACAGCAGTGTGTGTGTGAGAGGGGAAACACAGGATGTGGTAGGATACTCTGTGCTGGTCTCAGCTCTGCAGACACTCTTAGTGCCGCTGGAGTTTTGATTTCATGGCTGTAGTGTTCAGGATATGAAGCAGGAGCTGAGGAACATGGATTGCTTTCGACTTCACAAACACAGGGTATGTGCACATTCCATTTGATTTTACAAACAGTTTTTAAAGAGAGGTTTGCAAACTTATAAGATGTGTTTAAGAAAGTCTGTGGAGTTTTCTGTATATACATATCTCCATTTTATTAGCCTGCAGTGTTATAAGTGAACATCAATACTCCTTTGTGTCTCAATATATTTGGCACTTCACACAGAATTCAGGTCATTTAGATCAGTAATGTTATTTAACGGAGAAGCAGCACAACATGGTAAAAGTTCCATGTTACCTTGACAGACTGGTTTGTGTTGTGTCGGAGGTCACATGTTAGGACAACAGTAACTAGTATGGTTTCTTCTTCATTAACATCAGGAACAGATGCAGAGGTTCATTAACCTGTGTGGCCAGAGGAGGACCGGTGCATTGGTGTGTGTGTGTGTGTGTGTGTGTGTGTGTGTGTGTGTGTGTGTGTGTAATATGAATGTGAAGACAGCCCAACTGCCACTTGTGTTTCTCCTGATTGTCACATTCCCTGGATGCCTGCTCTCAACAGCTGCTGTCAGCTTTACCGGACTCTCATTGTAGTCTTGACTGAATGCTCACATGAGCATTAGACCTACTCATGTGATAGGCGTATTATCAGGAATCCACAGTATATGATTTAAGAGTTTAATTTAGAGGATAAATGATGGAGTGTGCCAGCTGCTACATAGTCTCTCTAGTTTTATATATGAATCACAAGACAGGAGACAGATGCAAAGAGCTGGATGGCATTTAATCATGTTGGATCTGCACTTGAATACTCTTGAGCAGTATTTTTATAATACTTTCTTAGTTAATATATTAGTACATAGTTCATTCACAGCAGTATTAATATATCTTGTGCTGTGGAACTGTTACAAAGTTCCGTATTTCCACTGTAGTCAGACACTTTTTATCTCCATGAAGAATGTGTGTGTTTTCGTGTGGGCACTGCATCTTTAACTACTGTTGAAGAACCACTGGCAATCTAAAACCGGCTAATTCTCTTTTAATAGGAAAGATCTTAAACAAATTTTATTGAGGTATATCTCATGCTGAGTGCTCAGTGAAAAGAAAAATACTCTGTTTTTTGTGACAATTTTTAAGTGCTTTGTTTTCCACATACGCATGCTTTCTGTTCAGTATGACTCAAGAGACGAGAAAGTGGGATGGAAAGAGGGGCATTTTCTGCCAAACCCTAATATGTCTGCGTAGGGAAAATCCCATTCCTAAAACACGGGCAATGGGTCCAGGAGAGGTGGTACTCGAGGGGATTTGACGTCACACAAAGTCAGGGGATAAAACGGCTTTTGATGTCATGCTAGTCAAGCAAAGAACCCCTCGCTTGGAACCAGCCCAAAATGTCTAGTCTGTGCGAGTGTAATTATGATTGGTCAAGGGAGGAAGAAAAACCTCCAGTGTAGGGAAACTCAAGCCAGAATACTCCTATCCCCCCCAACCCAATCACACTCAAACACACACGCACATACGCACACCCTCTAATGGTCTAAATTGGCCATTCCATGGAGGTTTGCTACCCAAACAGACAAAAAGACAGGAGAGGGGAGGAGCAGCTGTCTCCCATAGCATATGTTGACCACTTGTATGACAGATTTGCTCACTTCTGTGTGTAAATGGAGACAGGCTTACCGCTTTAGCTCATCTCAGCCTATCAGGAGCACTGCGGAGATCCAGCCACAGCTGAGGCTGCCAAAAATGCTGGTAAGTCTGAATGATGACTATTCAGTGTGCCAGCGAGGGAGGTGCAACGTGTGCATGTGTGTGTAAGTGGTTGTGTGTGTGTACCTGCACATTCTTGAGTATAATGGCCCTGTCTGTCTTTTTGTCAGTGTACAGTACTGATATATGTCCAGATTTACACTGAGCTCCAGTTCATTGGTTCCACCGTGTTTGTACCCACTGTGCTGAATAGGCCTGTGTGCTTAGGATGCTGTTGTATACAAAACACAAACCTTCATAAAATGCGGAAAATGGCAGTGGGCATCAAGAGGGGTATTACTATGTCAAGAAGGGCTGACGCAGGAGGCAATAGACTTGTTTTATTTCCAGTCTGTTAGTGTATGGAGGGTTTCAGAAGGATTAGTGGGTTAGTGGTACAGTTAGGTGGTGGGTCCCTGGGTTTCCTCCATATGTATGTGTGCAGTCAGACACATCGTTCTGTCTTTTTGCGTGTGTTGGTACACTGCGTCTTTGTAGGGGAGATTCATGCTTTGGCTCCCAATGCTTTAACACCACTTATTGTAGCCGGGGACGAGGGTGAGTTGACATGTTATGCTTTACTGAGAAACAGAAAAGGTGGTTAAATGATAATTTAGCATTTATTGTTGTGAATATCAGAATAATAATTTAGGGAGTTATCAGTGTGCTCGCTTGTTATTCTTAACATTAGTAATAAATGAGAAGAGACACCTGCACACTGTTTTTAAACCACACATTTATTTAAATAGAGAAATAAAGGCGGAAGTATTGATATTTAAACATTCTGACTTGACAACAATATAACAGTGATGCAAATCTCCCTGTAAATAGATTTTCTTTCCATTAGTTTGCGTAGTCTTGTACCATATGGGATTTGCATACAACTGTGCCGAGACATCATGTGTTGATGATATGATCATGTAATTATGACAAACAATAAATTGGTTTATTGGCTGATAAACTACTTTGCAGGAAAATATTAATCGAAAATGTTTCTCTGCATGTGGTAAGAGTTAAGTTAAACTTTGATTATTTTACTTGTGAATTTGCTTACATTTACCATGTATAGATTTTTATTATATATAATTACCGTGATATATATCAATATTCCCTACTCACCAGCCTTAATTTGTTTTCTGATGTTTGTTTTTCTTTATTTTAACTCCAAGGGTGTGACCATACATTCATACATAAGTGCTAGCCTGCCTGTGTCAGCCTCATTACCACTCCCCAGCCTGTCCCCACACAGTCCCAAAGGGTTACATTCTAGAGACGCCCATTGGAGAGAAGCAGAGGAAGCGGAAGCCCCCAGTGTAAACACAAAATGCTTTGATTTGGTACAAATAGACAACAAATGGCTCAACAATCTCTGAGTCTTCCAAGGAAAGCCCCTCACCAGCTGGTAAAAAAGAACTAATTGAAATGAGTTTATTTGGGAGGTATATTGCCCTTATCAGCCTAAATCCAAAGGGATGATTGTGAGAGAGATGAGTGTATGATACCAAGTGGGCTCCTGAGCCTGCAGAGCCTCTAGAATGCAACATGTGCCCAGCTACTTCTAAAATTGCAGCAAATCTTCAAATGATACGGTCAGATTATCACTTTGCAAAGGAACACAAATCTTTAAAAAACATTTCTGACAACATCGGTCTCATGTATTTCAAGAAAATTGTTTTCAGGATATAGATACTGGTGCAAAAATCTTCCTTATGTTATTCCAACGTTCTCTCCGCTGTAGAGGATTCCTCCCGATTGGTGAAAGTGCACATGTGACAGAAGGGTTTTCACTCTGCAGGCACTGCAGTGGTCATAGAGAGGGTTTTCAAATCTGAGGTAAACACACCCTTGCTACATTGAACATTTTACAGTGTTATGAGCAGAGGTCTCTGCAGATCTCCATGGGAAAACTAACCATCCATTTCAAAAGGCCATAGCTGGGTATTGTTTTTTCAGGGAGTTTGCAAGTGAATTTGAGTTAATGTTATACAGCCCTTTGGTATGTTTGCAAACCTGACACTGGCTGCTCTAGCTGGTTTAATCCCATTGCCACATCGCCACTGTGTCAGTTAACCTGTCAACGTTTGTTGCTCCTGGCCTGCAGTCTCAGTTGGAGACTGTAGTTATGCCAGAGCTCCAGGTAGACCCACCAGGGAGAGCTCTATCTTCTCCTCCTTTGTGCCCAGGAGAAGCAGCAGGAGAGGCCAGGGGACCTGGGGGGGGTGCGACAGACCAAGCCCAGCTGTTGGCTCATTTACACACCCAATCCCTTCTCTCCCCTTCATTTCCCCCTTTGGCTTCATGCGTTTTTATTAACATGTGTGTTGCAGAATCAATGTGTATGAAGATGCACACTGTTGCACATGCACACACAAGCACACATGCAGTATCTCACCCCTTCTCTGTGTTGTCCCTCTTTCTGACAGGCGAACAAAGACCCACTATTTCTGACGGGGGTGACCTTCCCTTCAGAGTATCCTGCTAGCCCGGAGACACTAGTCAAGCTAACTGTGTATGATTCAAAGGACAAGAGCCAGGAATCAGTGAGTAAATAGTTGTTTTTTTTACTGTGTGTGTGTTTGTGTTTGTGTGTGTGTGTATTTGTGTGAATACATGTGAACGTTAACGATGAGAATATGTTCAAAGCCAGTGTCAAGTGTTAGTTGTGCAGCACCGAGCTTTACACTTTACAGGGGATGAACATGAAAAGCTGCAAGAAATCCGCTGCAGAATCTTTTTATGTTTAAATTTATCCAACAGATTTGGAGGTGCAAAAAGTTGTGTGCTTAAATATTGCAGGCAATGTATTATCAGTCATTTGAGTCTGTATCAGACCGAGACCTTTGCCTTTAGTTTTGAAGGAAAAGGGTGTGTAGCCTTTGATAAGCATCTGTGCGTGGCTGCCCGTCCTTTGGAAGTGATCCTCTGGGAAAACCAGTCGGCACATCAGTGGGAATGGGAAAGAGAGCCAGACATAGAATCCTGAATGGCCCTGGCCCTCTGATTCAGACATTTTAAAAGACTTTATAGGAGGTTCTTCAGTGGGGGTGAATGCATGATCTTAATCAAGCATCCCACTCAACCCTGGGTGCCAAATCTTAATGGTCACAATCTACAATGAAACATTCATGAGCTCTATGATGAGAAAGGACACCATTACAGACGTCTACAGTGGCAGCAGTCTTCCTTCATATCTGAGTAAAAATGACTGTGTATAACTGTGGGGAAAAGTGTGTGTATGTTCCTTGGGACACTGTTTTTAAACTGATTGTAATTTTACAAGGAGCAGCTGCATTTTATCAGTTTTATGGCATGGGAAGTGAGGAGTTTACAATGACCGTTTGTTGCTGTGCATACTATAAAACGTTTGCAAGTAAAACACCAAAACGTCATGAGAGTCCTTTATCAAAAACACCTACTGAACATGCAGCACATGGAGTCCTCCAGTAGCACACCTGGTAGAGCGTGACATTTGAGGGGAGTTAGTACTGCAGAGGCTCGTATATAAATATAATGTGTGAAAAATAACTTAAATAAAAAAAATACTCTTTCTCTGGTGTGGCACTTTGCATTTGTTACTTGTTTATTCAGTGAAATAATTTGGATCAGATAGATCGTCCTCAGATTCTTTCCCGAGCTCCATCCAACACCTCAGGACAGTTCATCTTGAAGCAGCAGCAAGTAACCAGCTCCTTGCAATAATATTTTCATTCATATCAATAGGAACATCATGGGGAGCTGTCTTTTCATTCTGTCACTTCAACAGATGCTATGACACAGACTGTTGCTTTCCCTGCAGTGTATGAAATGTTGGCTATATATATTTTCACATAAATATGAATTCACTTATTTATACCTATATATACCCTAATAAATGTAACAACATTTTATCGTTCTTCAGATAATGTTGTTGTAGCTTTGCTAAGTTCTAACCCTATTCTGTTGTCTGCTGAGGTTTAACTGAAATGTTTTTTTATCTGGTCTTACGAGTATATGTTGTATTCCATATAGTGAGAATTAGGACAGTATATATTTATGTCATCAGACTCTGCACCTCCTGCAGACAGTGTTCTCCCTTGAGAAGCGAGCCTCAGCGTCTGTTTCCCAGTAATAAAGTCAAGGAGGGGAGCTGATTTGCAGCTCATACAAACTCCACCTGCTGATAATCCGTCCAGCTCGTAATGTATTCATCCTGCTCCAGCTTCTACCCAGATTGTGTCACACTGTGCCAGGAATTTACAAAGTTAGTTCTGAGAAGGTTTCCCAAGTTTGCTGCTGAGCATGTACCCAGTTTAAATAAATCTGTTTATAATGTTTAGATTATTCTTGATGACACATGTGCTGTTGCAGTTTGATGAGCTCACAAATCTAATCTTACTTTTACCCAACAAAAAAGTGTTGCACACACAATACTGCAGCAGTTTATGTGAAAGTTGTATTTTTGATTTGATCAAGTTGCACACCAGTTACATGTATTTTTTTGTTCAGTATATGCAGTATAATGACATTAACCAGTGTCCAGCTGTTCAATCATTTGCCTCTAAAACTTGCAGGCTTAGATAAAATCCCAGATGAAATTCCCTTACAATGAGAACACAGATTTATTCCACGCTACAGTTTGTCCTGAATATTCATATTGAAGATCACAGATGTGAGTTTAACACTGTTTTAAACTCTCCACCCACCTTCTTGAGTATTTCTTATGTTCTGTGCTTTCTTAAGAAGTTTTTCAGAACTGATCCATAGACTTTTAATACATATGGACGAAATGACGGCTCTGCAAAAGTGAAGCCAAAGCGTTTTAATGGCTCATTTGTTTAATGGCTCATTTGTGTCAAAAAGTGAAACTACATGTCAAATATATTTTTGTCTCATTTTCGGCAGTTCTTTTGAAACTGAATTATGTTCAAGTGCTCATTTGTCCTGTAGGTTTGTTAGTTATTTATTTGATGCTCATGAAACGTCATAAAAGACATTTTACTTATATTTTTCATTTTCACACAGTAGGTGCTGTACAAACGGAATTTGAGGGGTCATTGTGTTGGGTTTAGTTGCATCTAGCAACTACTATACAACTACGTAGGTGGATGAATGTAGGTGGCCCTCAGGTAATGTTACAATACAAAAAGCCTTCTTTAGAGCTAATGTTTCTAGGCTACTGTAGAAACATGGCACTGCAACATTGTGAACCCACTCCCACTGTAGATATAAAGACACATGCTCAGATAACGAAAACCAATGATTCTTAGTTTCAGGTGATTATACACTAATGGAAATGCAATTGTGAATAATTATATTCTATTTCTACAGAACCATCCACTTAAATCCTACACACCAGCGACTGGATACGTTTTTTATTTAATGACTTGATGGATTTGAATGTTTGTCTGTCATTCTGTACCTCACACAGTCTGTGAAAGTGAGTATTTGCATCAGCTCCTGTCAATCTGTCAAGAATATATCTGATGTACAACACAGTATTTCACTCAAGCTTGAACCAGCAGACTTACAGGACAGGTCCTGTTGAGCCTTTCAAACTCCTCACTCATTTTCACACCCTGCAGTGCCCACAAAGCTGAAAAAGTTTTGAAGGATGAGCTGCATCACAACTTTCTGTGAACATCAGAAAAAAACAAACTCCCTCTTCCTTTCTCTCTGTATGTCTCATATCATGGCCTTGAAAATACTTGAAGGTCCTTTTTTCTTCTTTATTTAGTTTTTCTCTGGCACCTGTGCTCTCGTGCTGTGGCTTTTGGATTTTCAACCCCGGTCGGCTGGGCACAGCGTGCTTCTCTGTATTTCATTAGAGTCCTTAGGTGACAAAGGCGTGACCCTGAACATGAGCTGGCACAATGCATCAGCCCCAGTCCGCCGATGTATCAGATCAGGAATCACTCAGCCCAGGTTTTTTGTTTCATGTTAAATTTTTTGAGAGAGAGTACCCATGAGAGGGCAATTTGCTGTTTTTGTGTGTCTCACAAATCAGCTGTCAAATGTTTTGTATTTCACTTTCAGCTTCAGTAGCAGACATTGTGCCATGAGCTGTTTCTCCACAATGGAAGGTACACACCACGCATGGTAACCGCTAAACATAAATATATACAGTTTATAGAAACTTTGCAAAATTTGCATTTTTCACCATAGGAGTTTTGGTGTGGAAATAAGAGGGGGATGAAATTGAAACACTGAGGAGGAGGAAACTGATGGAGCGTGGTTTATAGACAACTGCTTTAACATTCGTAGAGGACTGGGGAATTTTATAGTAGGATGATTTCCCCCTGCCTTGGGCTTCCCATTTAGATATTCTAAGATGACACTGGCTGCATGGTCATGAATATTTGAGAGCGTGCACAGGGCTGATAGAGCGATAAGTCGGTCAGTGGAGGTGTGAAAAGGAGTACGGCCGGGTTAGATATCTCTCAGGTGTAAGTGATCCCCCCCTCAAACTCTGGTTGTCAAAGGATGACAGTCTAACCTTACTCTGTCACTGAAGTCTTAGCTGTAACTGAATGACTCAGAGGGGCAATAAATTACCTTTCAGCCCTCATTCTGATCACTGAATCAAGAAATTCTCACTGTGGCTGAAAAGGGACTAAACTTGACACAGAGATCCCTTCATTTACAGCTGTTTTATCATAAGCAGTGAATATTATGAGTTAAACACAGATTCAAAGTGTAACTAATGTTTACATCTTGAAGACATGCTATAGAGAAGCTAGTGCTTCCCTTTTATTATCTAGACTTTGGCACCCCACCATATTCTAATTTGTCTCGCCACTGATTCGTAATGAACCAAAAAATGTCTGCTGTTTTGCTCCATTGCCACATTGTATATCTGTGTGACATGCATTGTATTCTGTGGGACATGCTGGAGGAGCCCACTGTTGTCATGCCTCTACATGTTTTTGGGTTGTCTCTGCTTCTTTCTTCAGATTCTTGTGAACACTATCGCAAAAACACCTTCACGAAATTTGGTATAAACGTTCAGTTTGACTGATTATATTTCGGTGGTCAAAGGTCACGGTGACATGAGCATGAAATCTCAAGTCTGCCTTTAGGGACTATCTTTACAGTTTAACCACTTGTCACTTGGACCCAAACATGAACTCATGAGTCATGGAAGAAATGTATGTAGACTGAAACTGCACTGGTTGATGGAGGCATACATCTGCTGGGTGGTAATCCTTGTTTCTAATGAATACTTTTACCTGTATAGAAAGCTGGACGATGTGGTCAGAAGAACCATTCGAGGCACATCAAATAAATCGTAGCAGCCTTTGATTATCTTCAAAGCTTATTAGAAATCAGAGCAGGGCCTATCTGAAAGAGGTGGGATAAATAGACGTGTTGAAAGCATGTGGAAGAGGCACATAAGATTATTTTTCTGTGTTGGTGCCTCACATTTGTGCTCACTTACCTCTGTGAAGAGGTTCGGAGACAAGCGGCTAATGACAGACCTGTGGTTTGCTGTCAGAGCAAACCCATTACTGAGTGTTCTTGTGGTATAAAGGAATAAGACAGCTGCCTCTGTAAGAACCTCTCT